TGAAGCAATGAGCATGAAACTGAGCAAACTCAGGGAGGCAGTGAAGAACAGGAAGGCCTGGGGCAATATGGTTCATGGGGTCACAAAGAGTCAGACACAACTTAATGACTGAACAACAACAAAAATATTCTTTCCTGATTTAGGTGTATACCTTCACATAACGACTGAACAACAACAAAAATATTCTTTCCTGATTTAGGTGTATACCTTCAATGCTCAAGTCTCATATTTCTGGAATACTGCTTGTACAGTAAAGCTATTGTGCCCACATTCTTCCCCTTTAGCAAATGCATTCTATTCCTTAGCAAAGTTAAAAAAAAAAAAAAAAGTCACTTAAACATCAAAACTTTCCCTATCCCTGGATACCTTAATGTAGGAATAAGAGTTATGCTGGCTATACAAGATAATTCTTGAACTTCTGTTTTGAATTTCCAAATGCTAATAGAGAAAATAGCCAATCATAGACAAAATTACTGTATGTTCCTATTGTTCCTATTTTCAAAAGAAAAATGTTTGTGAAATTAAAATCTGAGATATTTTCCCACATCTGTGATGCACTGCTAAATTAAAGCATTTTGAGTAATTTATCCAGAAGCTCAATTAGCCCCTATAAGTAACAAAATCAAGAAAATTGTATTTTTCGTACTAAATGTGTTTTACATGTTAAAGAGGATAGGGGTGCTGGCTGACTCCCCCTATTTCTGGGGGAGATGCAAAGCAATTTAAACCCAGTTTTGTTTTCCAGGCCATGCAGAGAAGTTTCTAGACATCTTTCAGCGGACACCACTGGGGGAACATATTGCTTGCTTTTCAGAGGAAGAGAAGACCATCTTTTTTCACTATTACATCCAAGACTTTATTCTTCTGGAAATGGGTGTGACCTCGGAGAGGGAACTAAATGTGCGTATTTCAATGGGACAAAAGCTTGCCTCAAGAGCTGTGTTCTATAATGTGTGCCAACGGGTGGGTGGGCTTGGCACTTAATTACCACTATATTACATACAGATAAATGTTTCCCATCTGTCTGAAATACAGTTAAATCTTTATGATAGAGCAGGTGATTATGAAAAGAATCTCTTTCAAATGTGTTGCTTTATATTTCCAGGTGTTGCAAGTGGCCCTCTTGTCATGTGTGGAAGAAGTGAAGGCTACCTCTTCTAGTGTAGAAGAAAGAGTGCCATCCCTTCCCTGGATCCACCTTGGTTACCATCGGTTTAGGAGTCGGCTGCAGAACTTTTCCAGGATTCTTACTGTGTGCCCTAATGTGCTTCCTACTCTTGAACAAATCGGAAAGCAAGCAAGCTACAGTTTGCAAAGTCAAATGGTAGGTGGGCTTAATCTTAAAAGGAAAACATGACATCTGGGGAGAAAAGTTATTCTCTCTGTGTTGTTAATCAGGAGAAATTAATTTCTCTGAAAAAAGGAGTTCCGCGCATGTCTTTAAAATGTTTTTATGGGCTGTACACCAATGGTGTATTTGCCTTGCAGTGAAAACACATGGAGGATCTCCCAAGCAGGGTCAAATCATAATGGAATTGCTTATATAAATGTGCAAACAGAGCATTTACTCTCCCATAAAGTGTGAAAATTAAATTTAAATAAGGTATAGGTGATTGATTGCAATGTATTGTGATAAAACTACAAAAAACTTCACTAAATGAATAAAGTAGGCTGAAAACAAGAAGTATAAAGTTAAAATGAAAAGAAGAAAATAAGGATAAGGAAATAAGGATAAGGAAAAGAAGAAAATAAGGAAGACAATAGAAATGTAAGTCAAAAGAACAGCAATCAAAGGGATGTAAAATAATGGCCATTAAAACTGATGGATGGGTTAGACAGGAAGAAAGCCACTTGTAATCACTGATGATATTACAGAAGGGAACTACAGGTAGTCCTCATTTAGCAACCATAATTGGGACCGGCAACTCAGTTGTTAAGTGAAGTGCTCGCTAAGTGGTCACTAAACCGGTACTGTGCTTATGACCTTACTTCGGATTTGCTTTGCTTTACAGACCTGCAAAGGTTGTAAATGCGAGAATTGGTTGTAAAGTTACTTTTTCATAACCATCATAACTGTGAATAGTTGCTGAACAACGCAGTCACTAAACGAGAACTACCTGCATTTATTTAAGGAGCTATTTATTTGATTTTTGTATCACCATAATTGTCAGATTTTTAGCAAAGTACAAAGCCATGTATACAAGGCGCTATGATGGAGTGAGGGCATCAAAATCCAGGATAGTTTTCCTATTCTCCTTTACTAAAAGGACATTTAGATCAGATAATCTTGATGCAATTCCCAGTTCTAACTATGGAGTGAAGTGTATGTTCTTACATTATGTGCGTATGATAAGAGGCTTCTTAATGCCTGTTTGCCGTAGGTGCTAGACGTGTATGCTGCACTGGCCTGTACTGAAATGTTGTCATCGACAGCCCTGGAATGGAAAACTCGGGCATGGCTCCAGTGGGTGAAGAACCTTCAAATGCCCATTGAACTTGTGTGTGCAGAAAACTGTAGACAAGGCAGTGGAAGCCAGTGCGACCAAAGGCTCCAAGAGGTCAAGTAAGTAAGAATTTCAGGGTGTATAAATGTTATTTGGGTCTACTTTTTGTTTGGTAAGTATCATTTTACAGTGCTTTTTTCGGTTGTTGTTAAATTGCTGGTTTTTTAGGCCAACTTCATAACTGACTTCCTGTGGTAATCACTTGCTCTAAATACCTTTAGTTCCTGTTGTCCAAATCCTAACATATGTTGTATCTGAATCTTAAAGAGGCAGGTATGTTGGGGGCTACATGGAACGCTACATTTGGCAGTCTTGATTTTTTTTTTTTTTGAGACTACAGAGATTCAAGAGGACAGATGTGTTCTTTAAGCTGCCTGTTGGTAATAGACTTCTTCAGAATAATTGTTAGTCTGCCCTGCTGCTGCTTGGTCTTCTCTTAGCTACAGTTTAAAGGTGACCTGTGTCAGTTATTAATTCCCAAATTAGCCCTTTGTTTCCACTTGCAGTGGCATTTGCAAGTGAGTTCATAGGTTTATCTGCCTCTGTAGAAGGCAGAGGCAGGTGATCTCTTTATTATATAATAAGAGTTAATTTAATGTGTCCTTCAGTTCAACTTTTTGATAGTATCCTTTTTTTCTTTTTATAAATAAACCATTTTTTTCAACAGGCACCAATGGAGTAAGATTTTCTCAGTGTCCCTTTTTATGGAGCATGTGCTCCTTGGAGCAGAAACATTGATTCCAGAACTGCAGATGCTGGTAAAGAAGTACATCATGCAACTTAACAATGTAAGAACGGTAGTCCCATCTGATTGGAAGAATCACTTTAAGCATTTATTTATTTACTTATTAGTCAGTTGTCAACAATACAGCCACTCCTCATTAATTAAAAAAAAATTCTGACCAATGCAGGCATTTATGACCAAATTTCTTGTGCTTGACAACAGAAACATTCAGTGTGAAACTGATTAAGGTCTGGTCAGTTTTAGACAGCTGGTGATCTGGTGGGAGGGTTCTGATCAACTTAATTAAGGTCACAGAGCTGAGCTTGTTAACTTGTGGTTAACATTTTTTAGGGAAGGGCTGGGCCTAGAGAAAAGCAGCTCAGGAAGAGATAGCTTGTTTAGGCAATCTCTCTGCCCTGCAAGGGGACCAAAAAAAAGGAAAACAAATGGGTCAGGCACAGGACACTGTAGGAGAGAACTTTATATAAATGAGAGGGCAGCAACCAGTGATTTGTACAGCAGCATCTCTCTCTGTCATGTGTTCGCTTAGTGACCATTTCACTCCCAATTTAAGGGCTGAATTGCAGTGGTTAAACAAGGAGCGGGTGTACAGACTTAACTATTTAAACTTTTGGATTAATTAGTATACGTCAACCTTTAGAATCTATATTTTCTCTTCATGAGTTGCCAGTTGTAGGAATAGCAGCTATAATTTATATTCTCCCCCACTCTCACTTGTTCTGTTTTTTCTTAAGCTGTTTTTTCCTCCTCCTCCTCTTTTTCTGATCTTCATTTGTTGAATTTTACTTCCATAGGGTTAAACTTCCTTGGAGTTGCACATATTTCCAACTGGAATTACTTTGTTAAATATTTCATGTCACTATGTCATACAGTAGTTATTTCTTGCTAGTTGTTTCTAGTTAAATTTAATTAATTCAAATTAATTTAAATCAATTAAATTAATTGATTAATTTAAATTAATTAATTTAAATAAATTAAACTGGTTGTTTCTGAGTTAAATATACCCTGATCAGGGTAACCATAGTTTATACTATGTGCCAGGAAAGGAATGTGCCATCTCTTTTGGAGGAAAAAATAAGTGGAGTTTTGGACCGGTTCATACATTGGAAGTTTGAGAGCTACATTATGGGCACTCTTATGTTTTATGAGTGTGGCCACTCATAAAACACACATTTATTAGATAGCAAATTGGTGAGGTTGTTCCTCACTACTCCTGCTTAAATTCCCAGGATATTCTCTACCACCTTTGCTTATCCAAACAAGCCATGGATTGTTACCATCCAACATTTTATTTTCTCAGAATACCTTTGAAGTCTACTTGGATCACAAAAACCTCCTAAGAAATAAAGATGAGCACTGAGGCTGGTGCTTCACAGTGTGTTAGCTTTTCATTAACTATTAAAATTAAATATTTATAGTTACAACATTTGTTAACAACATTGTTTGAACCAGCAGTATTTTCAGCTGCTGAAACACCTGAGATACTAGAACAACTTGTTAAATCCTAAAATATTTTTATAAATATTTGTTATCAGTAAATCAAGTTGATTCAGGTAGTCCTCACTTAATCATTCGTTCAATGACAGTTCGAAATTATGACGGTGCTGAAAAAATGGACTTATGACCTGTGCCCGAAATTATGACTGTTGCAGCACCCCTGCAGTCATGTCATCAAAATTCAGTCGCTTGGCAGCCCGCCAGCATTTACGACTGCAGGGGCACTTCATCTCCCCCCACCCTCCTATCCCCACCCATCTCTGCCCTTTTGGCCCCCTGCCGCTCTGCCCTTGGTTAAATACAATGTAAAATCAGGTAATCCTAATCCTCCTCTTTCTTTTGGATCTTGGAGAATTTTATATTTAACCCTTGGTTTCTTACCCTGCCATATAAATCTGGATATATCTTTTTCCCATTGCTTAAAAGGTACATCATTTTTCAAAACAGGTATTGTTTGAAATAAAAACATCATTTTTACCACAGAAATTCTTCCAAACAGTGATAATTGTAACTTTTCCCATCTTAACAAATCTTTCTTAATTTCATTCCATACCAACATAATTATTTTGAAATAATGTATAATTCATATTAGTCATGGTGATATCCAGGTATTTTACTTGTTTCTCAATTTGAAAACCGGTTTTTCAATCAGTTCTTTTTGATCTTCCATCTTCATGTTTTTTGTTAACATCTTCATTTTCTCCTTATTAATTTTAAATTAAAACAATATTTTAAAAGATTTTGTATTTAAGTATTTAAAAAAAAAATTAAATGGTGAGTGAGGGAGTATGTTGGCTCTATAGCTTCACTTTTGCAAATTGTAACAATAGCATTTCCCTCCCCACTCCCCTCCCCTCCCTCCCCTCCCCCAGTGTTTTCAGTGGGATCCTGACATCAAAACTAAGACAACATTCACTGCAGTGATGAGAGTGCTATGTCAGTGCAAGGAAGAGGCCAGTCAATCATTTTGCAGGTAATGCTTTAGGGATGGGATGATCTATATCGTAAGGATGACTTATGCAGAACTGAAAAAAAGTGTAAACTTCAAAAATATCACAAATTTTCTATTGGACCTCAACATGGCATTCAACAGAAAGGTCAAGACCCATGGTAACTCAACCTGGCTCCTATAGTAATTCAACCTGGCTCCCCAAACAATCTTTGTAGGTAGAAGTGGTGGGGGTAGGAACCATTATGAGTGAACAGGCCTTTTCTGCCTTTACAGATTTGCATCTTCACCTTCCACTCTATTTCCTTCTTCCCTATGCTAGTGGAAAAGGAGCAATGGCGGAAGATAAAGTACTTATACACAGGCCACACACCTAGGTTCAGAATATGCACCAATGTTGAACCTATTTCAACATTCATCACTATGTTAATCCTTTTCCTGGATGCTTAATATCTCACTGTCACATAATATAGAAATTTAAATAAAATTAAAGAGGAACTGACATAGTTTTTTCCAACTAATTTAAACAACCAGAATATAATGCAGTGGTCTGGCATACAATGAAAGCATTTACAAGAGGGTTGGTCATAGGTGAGTAGTAGAGAAAAGAAGGAATACTGAAAAAAGGCCACATATTTTGAAAAAACCCCTCTTATCTACAGAGTAAATCTAAGTCAATTGGTAGCAATAAAGATTATAGGGAATCACTAGCAAATGAGACAGAACTTCAAATTTATTTTAACCTTCAGTATACTGAGTAAAAATATAAATTTTCAAATAAAACTCTTGAGTTACTAGCCTGCAAACTGGAAAAGAAGAAATATAAAATCAGTTTCTGTCTATTAAATCTCCTAATAGAGGTTAATTTATAATACTAAAATAGTTTATGCTTTAAGGAATTCTATGCAGAGAGAGACACTAACAAGAAATTCAAAATTAGAAATTATTTAAATTATCTAATATTATTCAAGAAAATATAGATTTTTTGAATGCCTTGTTTAACTGAGATGACTCTAAGGAATTCATACAAAATTTAAAATCTGGTAAGTCCCAGGTGTTGATGGATTGCCAGGGGAATTCTATAAAACATTTGAAGATATTTTTAGTCAATAATTTTTTTGTTTTTTTAATGATGTTAGGAAATTCTATTGTATAATAACAACATTTGATCATTGTACTATGTACTTTAAGAGGTGTAAATAATAATATAAAAACCAGACCACAGATACCTTCCCCTGTACCTTAGAAATGTTCAAGTTAGGGGAGCAGAGAAAAAAATCTGAACAAATTACAGAAGCAGCAAATCAACAAAAATGAAATAATAAAGAGGTAAGCCCAAGCCTAGGTCTAATTTACAACACTAAATAACAAAATCATGGCTTTTATTATAATTGTTATATTTGCTGTTGACTACTGGAAGGCACTATACAACCAGTTTTGTTGGAACTTGGGAGGCATAGGTAGCCTCCATATCAGGTCTTCGGTATTATATGCTCAACCTGTAGAAACTCCCATTAAGGGGAAATCTTGAGGCCTTTGGTATCAGGCCCAGACAAAATTAAAAGTCATAGCCCTCTAGTTTGAGAGTGTACATGGATAAGAAAAGGAAGGTGTACCTCTATAGCATCTATAAAACCGTATCTACCCATTGCTTTGCTAAACCCAGTCTTCCCACAGCCCTTGTATACACAGCTGAGTCACACCTATAGCTTTGTACTGGGAGACGTTGGGGTAACTTTTGATAGTACTGTCCAGGGCATCTTGCTGTAGTGCTTGAGGGAGGTGGGGGCTGGAGGTGCTGCTCTGTGATGGTTGTGGTCTTATTTGGGAGATTCCACTTGGCCTCCTGGGATATATCTTGTCAATTCTGCATGATTCTATCAAGTTTTCTGTGATAGGAAATCACTTTTCATTTAGGAAAGGATCATTTGGAGCTATTTGTCTTCAGTATGTCGGCAATACTCAGCTTAGAGTTGCTGTAAGGGATTAAGTGTTGAAGAACAAACTGAAATTTAATGCAGACCCAAGAGGGTTTTGCTAATTCTCAGGGCTAGATTTCAGGATTCAGGAGAAATGTCTCTTCTGAATGTGGTTGCCTGCCTCTTAAAATTAGGTTTGCAGTCTCGAGTTCCTCCTCCTGAATAGCCATGTAATGTAAATGACAAGGAGGTCTCTTTTTGGCTTTGCCTATAAATCAATTGCATCATTACCTGGAGGGGAAAGGTCAATTTATGATGACTCATGTGCTGTAACTTCAAGATTGGATTATTGCAGTATCATTTTTCTGTGGCTTTCCTTAAAGATGGTCCAGAAATTGTAACTAAACCAGAATGTAGCAGAGCCTCCCAAAGGTCTGGCATAACCTCCATCTTGAAGTAATTTTTCTAGTTGCTGGTGGCTTTGTGGTACCAATTCAAGGTGATCACAATGGTCTTGGTTAAGCTGAGGACTGCTTGCTCTGACAGAGTCTACCCCACACTTTTAGATCATCAGTGGAACACTGTTGGTGAGTCTTGGCATAGATTCATTGGACAGCTGTGATTAATTCTGGTTTTCCTATGCCAGGGGCTGTGTGGGGGAAGACACTGGCACTGAGGTTAAAGCAAGACCCTCCTTTTGAAGCTAGAGCTCAAAGCAAACTTATTTGCCAAGGCATTTTAATTGTATTTTTGTTGCTTTTATGATATTTCTAGAAGCAGCCCTGAGCCATGATGGGAGTGGGCAGCATACAAATACTCTAAATGAATAAAAACAAATAAACATAGAACAGGGCTTATCTGTGTTACTTCATTGTGAACTCTATAATTAAATACATATAGCTACTTAATGTTTCCCTCTTAAATTCACAGGTTTGGTTTAAGGTCATGCCCAATATGCTTGGGCGATCCTAGAGATCCAGTAAACCTTCCGTGTGATCATGTATATTGTTACGATTGTATCAAACAGTACCTGGTGCTGGGACAGATGTTCTGCCCATATTGCCTGGTCAGTCTGCCAGATGATTACAAACCCACAGTATCTGAGAAGCTCAGGTAAACCTTGTTCCTGTTCCAGCAGGTAATTTTTCTGAGGACTTTCACTGGCTCTGCATTTCTTGGCCTGGACCCTCATGCTATGCAGTGCAAATTCTGTGGTTGACTAGATAAATAATAACTTATCATTTTCTCCACAGCATTGCCATAAAGAAAAATACCCAGTTCCGTAAATTATGCAACAGTTTTTTCATAGACCTGGTTTCTACAATGTGTTTCAAAGGCAATAATCCCCCAGAGAAAGCTGTGATTGAAGAGCTGTTGAATCTGATGTTTGTTCACAAGAAGATTTTGAGAGGTATGATTGTAACATCTATCAATATTGCTCTATCCTAAACGGATGGATTGTGCTGTTTCTCCAGACTGATTTGCATCATATCCTTAGGCCCTGAAAGCTTACATACCAAATCTTTGTCCCCCTTTGATGACGTGGTGGATAAAACTCCTGTAATCCGTTCTGTGGTGTTAAAATTGCTTCTGAAATACAGGTAAGATTTTCAACTGGGATGCATAAATTGGGGCACAGCATTCTACTTCAGAGTTAGCATCACTGTTGCATAGACCATTTTTACTGTCGGCCTCATTAGGGTTCAGACATCACTTTTTAAAACTTAATTGATTCTTCTCCCTGCCCCATGTTGTACAATGGCAGAAATGCATCCTTATGACCATGGGGGTATCTTTCTGTTTCCTGAATTTCATTAAAAACAGTAAAAAATGCCTATATTGCTTGTGAATAAACAGAGGTTTCTCTTGTCATAGCTTCAGTGATGTGAAAGTCTATGTACAAGAACATTTATCACAAGTTGAAGCAAATCGCATCATAGACAAGGAAGATAAAATAGAGCTGTACATGCTATTCATCAATTGCTTTGAGGTAAGTTTTGGGATTTTTTTTAGATTTCTTTTAGAGGGAAACATGGCCAGTGGGGACAGTAAGTTGAGGAGAAAGAGTATTATTGAATGAAAAAAAGTGTGTGCTGCTCTCCTTAAAGGAAAAGGTGTTAATAGCAGTTTTGCCTAAATAATCTCTAGTTGTCCTGTTTCTGCTATATTTTATGGAGGCTACACTATGGCTCCTGTGCACTTTGATTTTCTCAAAAAAAACTGTACGTTGTGTTTAGGTCAAACTATTGAGAGACATGGGAGAGATGCTGTTGTTATGCTATCATTTGAAAATTGTCAATTATCTGCTATAATGTAGTCAAGTCTAGTTCTTAACTGACTTCTATAGATCTAGAGGAAATGGCTGAAAATTAAAAAAACAAAAACAAAGTGAATCGATGTCTTTTTCTATAGTCCGTCCCTTCTCATTTTCCGATTTGGTTTTACATTTACCAAGTTACCAAGTGCTGAATCTAGGATAGTAGAAACAGCTTTTCATGGACCACATAATGCCAACCTACATATATTAGTATTAGCTTAAATAATGTTGTAGATCATTGCAAATGCACATTCTTTATTTATTTTACTAACTGGAGATTATCACCATGTTCCTGGTTTTAACAAACAGAATGATAAATAGTGAGCTGTAGTTTGACTGACTGATTTTTGTTTTTAAATTTTGGAAACGTGGTTTAGTTCTTAAATACCAAGTCCCCTTGTAGTCCTCCTGTTTCTGAAATTTTTATTTTCACCTGGAATTATCACTTAAGAAATCTTTAAGTTAAAGGCATTCCAGGGAACAGTCAGTCTCCATTTCTGCCTGTACACAAAGTTTCTCCCATAAACCTTGGTTATAAGTGCAGAAACTTTATTGTACTTCAGTAATAATTGCAAAGCTTGGGGCACACTTGGGTAGATCGGAGTTGCTAAATCTATATCTACTAGACCTAAAACCTACTCATTCCTCTAATGCATCTACAAAACCAAGGGACAATACTCACCCTTAAGATGGAATACTGTTTTACCCTCTCCATCTGCTTTAATATGAGGACAGTTGAACTTCGGGGTTGGCAATGCCTCTACTGTTCTGTCGCCTGCTCCCAAAGGGTAGACCTAACTCTTTATTTTGTTGAAAATATTCCAGATATTTTTTTAAAAAGGCCACCCCCAAGGAGCTGAGTAATTCAGTAAACTGTCTAAATTCTCAATCCAGCAGTTTCCTTGGTATAAGGTGTTTTTTTTCCCCATACAGAAGACCTACAAATGGCTTAATTTGGAGGCTTTAACTGGTATAAAATAATTTGGAAAATAATAATCAAATTGGAAAGTACTCTTTTCTTTTCAGGATTCAATGTGTGAGAAAACAGGAAATTTCCCCAAGGAAAGCAAAACAAGCTACTTGGCAAAGGATGGTCATTTTCTGGAAAATTATTTTCATCAGTACAATCGCAGCCATCCAGTTTCCCAAGAATTCACCATTGAGTATTTGCAGGGAATTGCCAACATCCGTCTATGCATGGATAGAGCTGCAGAGGTGATCTTTGAACTTCATGAAACTTCAGGCAAGTGGATTACAGCAGCCACATGGAAATGCTAACTTACCAGAAAACTCTCATGAGCAAGTTCTGATCCATTGTATTTATCTTTGGTGTCCTTATTTGAAATAACATGTTTCTGCAGTTGCTTACACTACCACAAGAATGTGTCCTTTTCTTGTAAATACAAAACTTTGCAAGACAAATTCTCTCTGCAAGATACGTTCTTTGCCCTCTTAGAACTGCTGCTTATTAATACAGTAGTGATACTGGGAAATAAATATTAGTTTCCCTTCTTTCTGCAGTTAGTAGTGAAGAAAAAGAAAAGCAACTCCACCTGCAAAAAGTGATGCAGTTCTTCTGTTGTACTCAAAATGACTGGTATAGAATTTACCTTGTTCGAAAACTTACTAACCAGTTTGGGTTGGAGTTCACACAGAAGCTTTTGAATAACCATCGGTATCACTGGGTTTTTCCACCAGAAATAATTGAAGAGCAACAGGTAATTTCGATACATTTCTGTTAACAACTTCTAAATATTTCTGAAAGATGGCTATGAACAGGGGGGGCTAAATGAATGGGTGTTACGAGGAATTTTGTAAAAGGATCTGTGTTTTGCTTACCTTGATTAGATTATCTTGCTGAGAGAGATTAGTGTTAAAATAGAATGGCTGGAGAGGCAACTATCTAAGATGACATTGTCAGGCAGTTCTTCTGAATGAGCAATGGATTCATGTGCCTCCTTACTTTATGGATAACATAAAGTTTAACTTTCAGAAGTAGCATATGCTTCTAGTTGGCCTACTTTCTGAAGAAAGTCTGAGAATCCCACTGACTATGGTAGGGACAAATTGAATGAGTGAATGAATACATACCCTTTTAAGAAGTTTGTTTACTTTGTGTTTTGTGGCCTCAGAGACTCCAGCCTGGTCGCATTGATCGATTCCTGGTTTGTGGCAAGAACTACAAAGCCATGCGTGATGCTGTGGGGGAAGGATTGATAAAATGCCAGACAGAGGGCATTGCAGCAGCTGTGAAGGTAACTCCCTTCTTTCTGAGCAGCGTAGCTCTTCTTGGTTGACATGAAGAGAGGGCCTTCTCTGATTTGGTAACAAGCACAAAGTTCTCAAGGATTTCTTGGATGCTCCATCCATTTCTGATGTCTGTTAACTATGCTGGACTTCAAGAGATTTTTGTTGATACCTCATGGTGTGTTAAAGAGCCTAATGGTGTTCCGGTATTGTTTTCTTAGGTCTTTGCAGAGAGTGTTAGATATCCAGTTTGGAATTCTGGAAGGAAGTTTTACTGTTACTGTTTACATTGAAAATCTGCTCTTCCATCAGGAATAGCTCATAACTGGTTTGAGCCAGTAAACCCCTTTGGAATTTAACTCTCATGGTTGCCATGGGGAGCTTTGCTCACCCCCCCATCTTTCTCACCTCCCAGAGTACTCTCTGTCATTCAAGATTACCTTAGTGTTGTTTTCTGGACACGTTTCCACTAGGCTGTAACCATTCCCTCCTCTTATTTTCTGGGGCCCAG